TTAATACTGACTGATATGACTTATTGCATTCCACTATATAGACCATATATTGTTGGAGTAGTGTCGATATACTGACCGATATGATTTATTGTATTACATGTACGCGATACACCAGATATTGTTGAAGTAATATATGTCGATATACTGAGACTGATATGATATATTGTATAACATGTACACGATACACCAGATAGTGTTGGAGTAGGGTCGATATACTGACCGATATGATATATTGTATTACATGCACACGATACACCAGATATTGTTGAAGTAATATATGTCGATATACTGACCGATATGATATATTGTATTACATTTACACGATACACCAGATATTGTTGGAGTAGTGTTGATATAGTGACTGATATATATTTTATTACATGTACACGATACAACATATATTGTTGGAGTAGTGTCGTTATACTGACCGATATGATTTATTGTATTACATGTACACTATACACAAGATATTGTTGGAGTACTGTCGATATCCTGAAACTGATATGATGTATTGTATTACATGTACAAGATACACCAGATATTGTTGAAGTAGGTTCTTAATACTGACTGATATGCCTTATTGCATTCCACTATATATATTGTTGAAGTAATATATGTCGATATACTGACCGATATGATATATTGTATTACATGTACACGATACAACAGATATAGTTGAAGTAGTGTCAATATACTGACTGATATCACAGACTTATATATTACATACGTCTCTGCTACACACATAGTAACAACCAAAGACTCCAATATGAGCCCAAGGGCCGAAAAACCTGAGGGCTGATTTTGGTTGAGGGTTGATACTGTGTGTGATATGGAAAAAGGCATGTTTTATTCTGTTTATTCATACGTACTAATAAATACGGATAGATCTACTATCTAATGATCTTTTTTTCCCTTTGAAATATTGAAAAACAAAGAAGTTTTCCCAAATGGGTGCGATACGGGTTTTGTGGGCTGATGCAGGTTTTGTGGTGTGATATATTGCGAGGGTTGATTATGGGTTAGAGCAATTGTGTTGTAACAAAAAATCTGTATTTATTACTAAGTATGTTATAAATTGTATTACATATACAAGATTCACCGGATACTGTTGAAGTAGTGTCGATATACATGTACACGATACACCAGATATTGTTGAAGTAATATATGTCGATATACTGACTGATATGATATATCGTATAACATGTACATGATACACCAGATATTGTTGGAGTATTGTCGATATACTGAGAATGATATGATGTATTGTATTACATGTACACGATACACCAGATATTGTTGAAGTANTTATTTTATTACATGTACACGATACACCAGATATTGTTGAAGTAATATATGTCGATATACTGACTGATATGATATATCGTATAACATGTACATGATACACCAGATATTGTTGGAGTATTGCCGATATACTGAGAATGATATGATGTATTGTATTACATGTACACGATACACCAGATATTGTCGGAGTAGTGTCGATATACTGACTGATATGATATATTGTATAACATGTACACAATACAACAGATATTGTTGGAGTAGCGTCGATATACTGAATGATATGATATATTGTATTACATGTACACGATACACCAGATATTGTTGAAGTAGTGTCGATATTCTGACTGATATCAGAGACGTATATATTACATACGTCTCTGCTGATATTATATATAGAGAATAATACATGCCTTTTTCCATAGCACACATAGTAACAACCAGGGATGTGTAGTGGACTACGTATACACATCCCTGTAACAACCAAAGACTCCAATATGAGCCCAAGGGCCGAAAAACCTGAGGGCTGATATTGGTTGAGGGTTGATACTGTGTGTGATATGGAAAAAGGCATGTTTTATTTTGTTTATTCATACGTACTAATAAATACGGATCGATCTATTATCTTATGAATTTTTTTTTCCTTTTAAATATTGAAAAAACAAAGAAGTTTTCCCAAATGGGTGCGATACAGGTTTTGGAGGCTGATGCAGGTTTTGGGGTGTGATATGGCGAGGGCTGATTATGGGTTAAAGCAATTGTGTTGTAACAAAAAATCTGTATTTATTGGGTAAGTATGTTATAAATTGTATTACATAAACAAGATTCACTGGATATTGTTGAAGTAGTGTTGATATACTGACTGATATGATGTATTGTATAACATGTACATATAAATGGAAGTATCGCAAAAATAGTAACGGTATCTTGATAGAAATTATTTGCAACTCTAACTTCTGAACTATTTACCAACATTAATTGAAATTTGATAGTGGAATGTATCGTGATTAGATGTTTTAATGTATTTATTTTAAAGTTTTACCTCCAGGTCAAAGAAACAGAGATGTCATTAGTTCAATAATGTTCTAAAACAAATCGTTTTGGTTGTTACGAGTCATTGTGTTTCAGATATAACTTCCCTTTCAAAACATGGCTTTGATCTTAATAGCAATTTCCAATTATGTTAATTTTCCAGACAATAGCATACAATATATATATATAATGTCATTGTGTACAGTCAGACTACTGATGACAAATTGTCTCTTATCAAGTCATCTACCTTCCAGTGACCATACCCACCAAAACTTAAACGAGCAGGAAGTCAAATAAATAAACAAATACGGAAACATATTTCACACTTTATTTGTGTTACATCTCACTCTGTTTACACATGAAAGTGTATAGATGTTATGTACACATGAATACTACCATACCCTCCTCTATACACAAGTACAATGTGACAAAAGGTTCAGTTATACAGTAAAACACATAGGCCTATAGTATGAACACACAATTTGAGAATCCTTACTTAAAATAAAGTCAGGTCTCATGGAAATGTTCCTTCAAGGTGTAAGTAACTTTGCAAACAGACATGTTTATCAAAATAATTTTTTGGGTCCTCTGCCGTTCGTAATAAACATACTTTACTGTAAAATAATTTCAGTTAAGTGTATTCGATTCAACATTCAGCATTCACATTAGATCCACAGCACTCCACATACATATAAACATCTTCACATAAATGCATTTCACACTCATATACATCAACATTCAAACATAATGACAAGATATAATTTTAGTAAGAAAACAGATCCACTATCTTTTTGTTTAAATCGCATAGATTATGACTTAACATTACTCCAACAATGTTAGAGGTTTTACACGGCGAAAAACTTTTGACAGGCGTCGCAGTCGGCAAAATCATATCCGATTGAAAAAAGGCCGACCAGATGCCTCTCATGTCATGGGAGTAGGAATTAACCTAACCGTATAGTTGACATTTAGTGTGGTGGCTTTAGCAGTCTACCAATATGTCCTTGTGTAAATATAGGAAAGTTTTGTCCTGTTGCTGTCAATAATTTTAGATTTGCACTGCCACATTTTCACGCAAACAAATTCGCAAAACACTTTGTTTGTACGGTCTAGAAACATATTGTTGCTTATGTAACTATATACATATCATTTTTGGCTTGGAATTCATTTTTCCCTGGGCTATTTATTATTCAAGGGACAAAATGAAAATAAGAAATAGTTCAAACGAGAGCAAACACTAACAGATCAAGTACAAATAGTACTTCATAGACAACATGCAGGGGCTTGTAACACGAGTCATCAGAACAGGATTAATTCTGTGTACAAATTGTAAAAAAAACTATGTTAAGCAAGCACTCTGGTATTGACATCATTACATAATTATAAACTAACCAGTAATTATATAAACCTGATATATCACAATTTCACAGCACAAGGAATGCCAAAGTTTGAATCGGCAGATTTATTTGTGGCAAATCTTTACAGGTTTTAGTGGCTTAAACTATTGATCTACCCTTGTATCTGTTATGACTCGCTATTTGATACCCTTTGCATCTGATACGGCCTTAGCTTGTTATTTCAACTTGTTCATTTGTAGTTTATATTAGAGATGAAATGGAAAAACAAAAGTGATCAAAATCTCAATTTATGATGACAATTTGAATACATGGTTGCTTGTCTATTCACAAAGTTATATCATAAGTATATATGTTTTGATTGGGGGCACATATTGGTGACAGCGAAAAATTTTGTATTCCTTCCAAACCATTGACTACGAAAAAATACAGGTGTACCGTTGAAAAATTTCATAGGCATGATTTTGTAATCAAACTACTTACATCTAAGTAACCTCCTAGCTTCCAGCACTATTGAGCTACATTAAATGCAATGTACATGTATTCTTACCTTGTATTAAGCAATACAAAGATAGATACAGTGATATTAATATAAAATTTATATATATTTCTATCAGACTTCAAAAGGCATCATATCAATATCACTCTGTCTCACAGACATGCCTCCAATTTGATAAACTGGCTTTAAACCATTTGACACATTCAGTAACTTAAATTTTACAAAGATTAAAGTAAAAAGGATAGAATACATGGGTTTGTTTGGTTGCAATTTATCATGATTTGAGCTATCTTCAAACATTCAAGAGTTGTCCATGAGGGAAAAAAAGATAAGGACACTGAGGTTCCAAATATGATGACCATTACTGTGTTCAAGATCAGTAATATCACTTATATCTCCTTCATCAAATTTTAACAAAACATAGGAAATGTTTCCTGCAACTCTTGTATTCAAGGCAAGCGTCACAATATTTTATCGTTGTTATCAAAATATCATTTAGAACTGAAACATTCTGATTAACAAGGTCCTACTGACCCAGAAATAACAAACAAAGTATTAAACTGTATGGAGACTAAACCATAGCAGTGTACGTACAGAGACAATCCAAAACATAGCGTTACATTGCTCATATGTGTATAAGATGAGACTGAGTTCAGTTATACAATCACACTGAATCCAACGGTGTCCAAACTTACAAACCTTCACGGAGGAATGATGAAAGTGACACGATGGATTATACAATGACACTGAATCCAATGGTGTCCAAACTTACAAACCTTCACGGAGGAATGATGAAAATGACACGATGGATTATACAATGACACTGAATCCAATGGTGTCCAAACTTACAAACCTTCACGGAGGAATGATGAAAATGACACGATGGATTATACAATGACACTGAATCCAATGGTGTCCAAACTTACAAACCTTCACGGAGGAATGATGAAAATGACACGATGGATTATACAATGACACTGAATCCAATGGTGTCCAAACTTACAAACCTTCACGGAGGAATGATGAAAATGACACGATGGATTATACAATGACACTGAATCCAATGGTGTCCAAACTTACAAACCTTCACGGAGGAATGATGAAAATGACACGATGGATTATACAATGACACTGAATCCAATGGTGTCCAAACTTACAAACCTTCACGGAGGAATGATGAAAATGACACGATGGATTATACAATGACACTGAATCCAATGGTGTCCAAACTTACAAACCTTCACGGAGGAATGATGAAAATGACACGATGGATTATACAATGACACTGATTCCAACGGTGTCCAAACTTACAAACCTTCACGGAGGAATGATGAAAATGACACGATGGATTATACAATGACACTGAAACATAAGATATCACAATACAGCTTCATCACGCCACTTCTATCTGTCCCATTGTTTTCAATTCTGATGCAACCTGAAAGAAATTAAAACAACCTCTTAATATAGAAAACAATGAAATGTGAAATGAATTCCTAAACACATGTCTTTCTATTTTATTAACTGGTGCTTCAATCATGATAAATCGTCTGGACCAGCACGTTTTATTCAAACTCATCTCAGTTTGAGAAGTAAAGCTACCAGGTAGAATAACTCTCAGATGAAAATATGTATAGGAGTGTAAAACGTAATCCATTTTGCAAGATAAATCACAGAATAAGATTACCTTAAACTCAGCACCAGTAAATTCCACCACATCCTCTAAAAGCACATCCTCAGCTTTCTCCGTCAATGTCAGCCCTTCTTCTGGGTCCACCTCGAACACTCCCTGGTGAAATAAGAGGCTATCTTACAACCAAATTTACAACAGATATGTATCAAGGGGAGGTTATCTCTGTCAGAAGCAGCCCTTGCTCCAGGTCTATCTCAAACACACCCAGACCCTGGTCAAATAGATTATTTTAGGCCACTTTCACATATCCAGTTCAACCTGAAGAACTTAAAAGGAAATGGCAGGCTCAGATCTGAACCAAAGCTTATCTCTGGAAAATTTGATATATTTACAAAAAAAATATCATTTAAGAAGATTTGAACAGGAAGGTAATATTAAGATTACAATGCTGAATTGTGATATAAACAATGTTATAATAACAGGAAGTTATTTCTTTGGGATTACAGGGAAGTTTACAGTGACCAGCTAAAATTCATGTTAGTCGAGGTCTATAAGGCAAGTCTAGGGACCCACCATTTCTGTTATGATAGTGTTGACACATCCTTTCCCCGTCAGTGGTAAGGTACATTCATTGAGGATCTTCTGTTTTCCTCCCTTAGCAGTGTGTTCCATGGTTACAATGACCTTGGTGTCCTTACTGGATACCAGATCCATAGCTCCTCCCATCCCCTTCACCATCTTACCCTGAAATGAAATGTAGCAGGATAATTACCTTTATCACTGGTAATCTGGCACAAAGAATAAATATGACTGGAATAATTTAACTTTATTTCTTTAAAATTAAAAAGTCTTAAACATCCCTGCAGTATATATATATGTTACCAGTATTTTGTGTGACTTTAGTCTTCAAAAGTTCTGCTAATCATTTTCTTATCATAAATAATTTGGTCAATTTGATAGAGACCTACGAAATTCTGTAGAAAATAACGTCATAAATAATTTTACATAAAATAAATACAGTTTTACCTGTCAATACCAAATGTATACTATAGTTATCTAGAAACCTATGTGAACTTGACATTTACTTCTATCCTTCTGTATACATTTCTATGTGTAAAAAGAACCGGTGTAATATATAGAAACCTGTACAAATCAGATCTCCACATAGATCTCATTGTATACGTCTCTATACTAATTGACTTCGATTAATCCAAAACAATTTTTTTCTGAATCAGACTGTTGATGTCTTTGAGATTCAGTTTAGATAGAGGTCACTGTAATACATGTGTCATAATGTATAACACTAGGAGTACCTCTGGACCAAACATTAAAATGTACTTGAATAACTGATTTATATTTGAACTGTTTGACTTACTGGAATCATCCAGTTGGCCAGATCGCCATATTGTGATACCTGCATGGCTCCCAGGATAGTGATGTCAACGTGGCCACTGAAAACATACACACCAAATACTACAATTCCATCGTCAGTGTGGTAAAGTATAGTATACCATCATTATTATGTACTTAGTTACATTGAACCCTGTATATATGTTGTCTCAAAATCAAAAGCTGTCCCTTGACATATTATAGCTTCTGGTGTGGTGATAGATTTGGATATATTTTGAATATTCTTTATCTGAAAGTTTTTCCATGCTATCAATGACTGCAGCAAATAAAGGCTTGTCTATGTTTCTACTTGATCTACCTAAACACCAATTGCATGCTATAATGAAACATTAGAAGCATTTATTATGAGTGGGAATTTTTTAGCAGTTTCATAATATGTAGAATAAATGCATGTGTCATTTTGGAAGCGGTTGTGATTATATACACATGTGCCATAGACAGGGATAAGCAGGGGCAAGTTATCTATATACTGCTATAGTCAATTTATCATAAACAACCTTAAGAGTAAGTATTTGGAGCAATTCATCTTTCTACCTCATAAAAAACTCAAGTAAAACATGAGAAGGGACATAACTCTGTCTGAATTAGAGCACAAGACCTAATTTCAGTATGTGACACTCTGCCATCCCAGAAGGTACTCATTATCAATTCTTCAGATTCATTCAAGTGAGTTTAAATGGTTTCATTTTTTAATTTCTCCAAATATTATTGTCAAATAAATTCAACAAAAGGATTGAACAGCAGGCTATGCCTATTTGTGTTCTCTCACTATATCAATATTTTCTACAAGTTCATGAGTAGTATATATTAGCATATAAACACTGTCACAAAATTGATTATCTCTGTTCATATGACCTAGGGGAGACAACTTTACCCTCGAATCATGGCAAAGGACTCATCGCTGGAGAAGTAGGAACTACCAGGAATACTGGTGACTGTTTCTTTACCCGCATTGATCAGATCTGGATCCACCTGATCTTCTGTGGGAAATGCTCCCTGTTAATATGAACATTAAAAGTACAGATATTACCAACATGTTAAATAATAACCAATCCAGTCATATGGAAATTAACGAAAAACATAGATATTTTCATGTACTACAGTTTATTGAGAATTCTTATGAAATTAACAAACTTACACGATTTAAAATCCTTATGCAATTCATAAACTTGCCATAAATGCATTGCAGTAAGAAGCGAGCTATTTTGATGTTTCTTTGTTTTAATGTACCTGTATTAATATTGTTCCACTCCTAATATATAATGTAATTTCTTATATACAGGACATATAATGTCACTAGCCTTTTACTTAGATGAGCAAACACTTACTAGTAATTAATCAAGATCCAGATCAGATATAGGTTTTTATCATATACAGACCAGTTTTCCCTGTACAAATAAAGTACAATGAAATTGCATAAAAAATTATGGTGTGTATAAATACTCACCAGTCCCAGAATGCCGTTCTCACTCTGCAAGTGTACCGTAATTCCCTGTATATAATTACTTGCAAGCATTGGCATACCAATGCCAAGATTTGCTGAGACACAAATTAAGGAAAAAAGCCAACATGTATATATGTATACTTGTCATAATAGTATTTTTGTTAGTAATGATAGTATTTCTGACATGTGTGTACACATCAGAGAACAGAAATACATCAATGATGCACTATACCTACATTATACTGCTACTGAATTGAAAAGACCAACAAAAAGAAAGATTGGTAGAAGAGAAAAATAAATATTCAAATTGGGCTGTAGGTTACCGTAGTATTTATTCCTCCAATGCCCCTTAGCAGAAGACACAGAATAAAACCCCAGATCATGCCATCACAAACTTCAATGGCCTCAGACGATCAAGCAGTAGGATAAAGCACACCTATTTTGTATTTAAGAGGAGAATGTTGCATATATTTATATATCTGTAGACCCTAGCCATGGAAGCAGTAGACATGTAGTCTAGTGGCATGGTAGGAAGCCGGGCTCATGACCAAAGGTTTGCAGGTTCGCGACATGTCACAGCACTGTGTTCTATCTTGTTCGTATCTTTGAACAAGATACTTTACTCCGCTTGTTCCAGTCTACCCAGCTGTAAATGTGGTTGGGCAGTGCTAGAATTGTTGAATGCTAGCTGTGAGCGCCGAAATGGCAGCACCATCTGTATGCTCCCCAGGGAGTTGAGAAAGATAATGGCTGGTTGCGAAGGCCCTATAACCATGGATTATCATTTGTGAACAGCTTTGAGACGACCTACGTTCTAGGTTGTGATAAAGCAGTATACAAGAACCTCAAATTATTATGATTACATGCAAGGGATGTCATTCATGTTCAACAAATGGACACAGAAATGACATAGCAGCCCAGATGACATCTTATATTATTAACCCCTGGGGTTGATTTCTTCATTGTTTAGCCATATTGTGGACAAAGGAAGTATAGATCTATGCGACTTCTCTAGTGCAACAAACCAGTGAATCTCCCTCTTATATAATGTGTGTTAACACGTAAATTATGCACGTAAAAATAACAATATTGCAACTCATGACAACTGACAATTTTAAGCTAGCAGCCATATTCCTTGACAGATACTCATAAAATTGTGCACGTTTTGCCTTGGACATCCTTTTATGAGTATGGTTGCTATTGGTCCAATGTTCCTTTCTATGGATTTTCTTTTACAGAATATGGCTTGTTATCACTGTAGTGCCCCTATTTGTAACTAGAATACCCCCGGTATATATTTCACACAATTCCTCCTTAAAACAACATGCTTCTGACAATGCATGGCTCTTTACAGGAATATACCATTATGAACTTTTGACTTTTGGACACTGTAAGGATACCATACATCCCGTCTTTGAATTCGAGGGCAGCTCTTCTAACAATTCTCTCCCTCAATATGGCAGCCGGGCTCTTGTCGAAGTCGATACTCTTGGGTTTGGTAAGGCGTAATCGCTAAAAAAGAAAATGTTTTAATCCTCATACAGCTACACACTATATTACATCAACTTCCATCTGACATCAGCATTAGCCAAATCACATAAGAAAACAGAAAAAAATAAACTTCTCTTATATTGTACCCTACAGATTTTCACACATAGTTCTTCATAATATTGCCATGGTTTGGAGAAATCACAGCCAATTCTTAAAACACAATCTCCTGCAACCAATAGCCATAACTTTTACTCCCAAAAGAGCACTGAAATGTTGTGATCTGCATCTGTAACAATAAAGATAACAAAGTGCGTATGCACCTCAATTCTCTTTTCGTAGCTAGGGCCTTTGATGACACGCTGGACGTAGACGTGGGGGACATGGACATCCTCAGCTGGGATCTCTCCTACCTCCACTACCTCCTCTACCTCAGCAATAGTCACCCTCCCTGCCTTACACATCGGAGGGTTAAAGTTACGAGCTGTCTTCCTGTACAACATCCATAAATATCATTCACAAAAACATGTTAACAACAAACACAATTTCTATCAACTCTTATTGTACCTGAGCTATATTTTTATATATAGTCACCTGAACACAGTTGACAGTTTTTACCAAGCAAGCTACATGACAAATATTGTGATTCTATGCCTTATGGTTCTTAATAAGAAGTTGTGTAAAGAAAATAGGTGACAACAGACAGATGATAAACATGGATACCAATCTGTGGGAATATTTTACAAGCATAACAATTTTTTTTTATTTTTTTTTAAGAAGTCAAGGGGTACTTTATAGGTAGGGGAAACAGTCAAGGATTGAACATATGAAAACACATAGTGTGTAAATGCAGGATAGTGAGATATCAGGAAAATAAAGAAGAAGAATTCTGACCTAAAAGTGAGGTTGCCTGCCTTGTCAGCCTTCCAGGCCTTGATGAGGGCGAAGTCTCCAGTGATAGCTTTCTCAAGGATATGTGGAACTCCAGCAAAGTCTCGCACCTACCAACATACAAGAATATAGTATTACAACTACATGTACCCAACAAAGCCTGGCGCCTACAAACATACAAGAATATAGTATTACAACTACATGTACCCAATAAAGCCTGGCACCTACAAACATACAATAATATAGTATAGTATTACAACTACATGTACCCAACAAAGCCTGGCACCTACCAACATACAAGAATATAGTATTACAACTACATGTTCACAATAAAGCCTGGCACCTACCAACATACAAGAATATAGTAATACAACTACATGTACCCAATAAAGCCTGGCACCTAAAAACATACAAAAATATAGTATTACAACTAGATGTACCCAATAAAGTCTTGCACCTACCAACATACAAGAATATAGTATTACAACTGCATGTACCCAATAAAGCCTCGCACCTACCAACATACAAGAATATAGTATTACAACTCCATGTACCCAATAAAGCCTGGCACCTACCAACATACAAGAATATAGTATTACAACTGCATGTACCCAATAAAGCCTGGCACCTACAAACCTACAAGAATATAGTATTACAACTACATGTACACAATAAAGCCTGGCACCTACAAACATACAATAATATAGTATAGTATTACAACTACATGTACCCAACAAAGCCTGGAACCTACCAACATACAAGAATATAGTATTACAACTGCATGTACCCAATAAAGCCTGGCACCTACAAACCTACAAGAATATAGTATTACAACTACATGTACCTAATAAAGTCTTGCACCTACCAACATACAAGAATATAGTATTACAACTACATGTACCCAATAAAGCCTGGCACCTACAAACATACAAAAATATAGTATTACAACTACATGTACCCAATAAAGTCTTGCACCTACCAACATACAAGAATATAGTATTACAACTACATGGTTGTACAAAACGAAGTTTCATGCCTACCAAAATACAGCAGTAGTGTTACAACTGAAGGCATGCATCAAGCAAAATCTTGCACCTATATCAAATTTCACTGATTATCAAATAAGTTGATTTTAGGAAAACTACAGTAAGTGAATTTTAGAATAATTTTACCATCAATAACATATATTAGAACTAATTTTCACCCTACAACGTATTTTAAATTTGTTGGTTTCAGGACAACCACATTAACTAATTGTTATGCACGCATTTAAGAGCAGGGTTTTATTTTATGACCTGCCTATGTAACATATTACACACCATTTCACTTACCTGGTACATGTATATAATCTGTGAATATACTCTTTGAAAATGAACCTGCCATATATTTCTACCTTAAACAAATTTAATACTCATGTAAACTAATAAATTCCAAACCTACGGAATCCTTGGTGTTGATGCTCCATCCTTTATCAAGTTGTTAAATTTAATACTCTTCAAAACTATATGCACCAAGTATATACCATAATGAATGTCAAATGGCAACTGACATTTGTACATGCTAGAAAATGTGATTTTTAAAATATTTGTAAACTATAGTAAGCTGTATGACTAAATCCTGGTAAAGATTGTCTAATCATCACATTTCCAAGGGAGCTAACTCTTCTAACTTTAGGATACTGAATTATCGTGAAAGAACACAATAACAAACTTGACATTCTTGTCTTTGAGTGCATCAGTAACGTTTGTGCTCTACCTGGAGATAACAGAGGAAGAAGTTGTATGAAAGTTCCGATCCATTTATAGCCCATATCAAACTTGATGCAGGAAAACTGATTTATTTGTACACATTATGATATACATATATGTATTTTTGGAGAAAAAAATTATACTGTTTTTCAGAACAAAGGTTGAGTGTACCCTTATATTTAACCATGGAATGAGACAATGGTTAATTCTCTGTTGTTGATTGTGTAATTTTGGGTTTAAAAAAGCAGATCAATATACTGGACAAAATCATAATGCAAATTAACTTTTATTTGATAATATGGAAAGAGTTATATTGTCCATCTATTTACAATGTGTGTAGTTCATTTTAATGGAGAATCATACTTAAATTATCATAAGGAAGCAAAACTTAATCTATACCTTTAAGGAAACACAGTCCCAGGTACTGGTAAACAATTTTATACATTTCCTGATCGAATCAAATGTTAGTGCTGTTTATTCATTTCCTTAAATAAATTTCATATTTTAACTAAAAAACAATTATATCTTTATATGGGAGATGATAATTTCTACCAATAAATTTCAGACCTAAACTGCAGGTCTGTTGGATTTAGGAAAAAAGTCTATTTTTTACTGATCAACAGACCAAACTAAGAATGTAAAAAACCTTTTATCAAGAATTTATTAAAAAACACTTGTGATGGATTTTTCATGCAAAATTTCACCTACCGGTACTATATCCACTATGAAATCATTCTATGTCATATATTTCCTTACATTTTTATTTTACTACCTCGCATACAAATGTACCATACTAATGTCCTAACAAATGATCAGAAATACTGGATATGGACCGTTGCTTAAGAGTCGATAACTTTAGTTATTCTTTTAAAGGAAAGGTGATCTTTGAGATGCCAAAAATTGAACTCACATAGAAAAAGATGTTTATGAACCTGTGTTTAAAATTTCAAGACAATCTGATAAGAAATGAAGTCTGTATATTAAGACAGAAACACCATATATCTACATAGGGTTTGTACTGTACTCCATTTAACTGGTTCTTTCTGAACTCCTTTTGGTAGTATTGTCAAACCTGTAGTAAGAGACCACCCTAAGGAAGTCAAAAACACAGGTGGTCTCTTAACAGAGGTGGTCTCTTAACAGAGGTGGTCTCTTAACAGAGGTGGTCACGTGAGCATTTTTTACTGTATCTTTCTCTCACAGGTAAGCTTGTTGCTGTAATGATGTGACCGAGTGAGGAGTCATGTTACTCTCACTTTAATATAGCCGTTAATCATCCCCATTGTCTCATGAAACTGTTGTCAACTGACGGTAACTTTTGAAAGGCCTCGTCATCTACCCATATCATCCTCGTATGACCTTAGTTGTTTGTGGACGCCCAATTTGACATCATCTTCATAATTAGCTGTTGGGTGGCTCATATCTGTGGACACTAATGTCATCACATAACCCTTGCTGTTTGGTGGCCCATATTTGTGGACACTGGTTGTCATGTAACCCTAGTTGTTGGGTGGCTCATATCTGTGGACATTTGTCATCATGTAACTCTTGCTGTAGGGTGGTCCATATTTGTGGACACTGGTTGTCATGTAACCCTTGTTGTTGGGTGGCTCATATCTGTGGACACTTGTCATCACATAACCCTAGCTGTAGGGTGGCCCATATTTGTGGACACTGGTTGTCATGTAACCCTAGTTGTTGGGTGGCCCATATATGTGGACACTTGTCATCACATAACCCTAGCTGTAGGGTTGCGCATATTTGTGGACACTGGTTGTCATGTAAGCCTAGTTGTTGGGTGGCCCATATCTGTGGACACTTTCATCATGTAACCCTAGCTATTGGGTGGCCCATATTTGTGGACACTGGTTGTCATGTAACCCTAGTTGTTGGGTGGCCCATATCTGTTGACACTTGTCGTCATGTAACCCTAGCTGTTGGGTGGCTCATATCTGTGGACACTTGTCGTCATGTAACCCTAGTTATTGAGTGGCCCGTATCTGTGGACACTGGTCGTCATGTAACCCTAGTTATTGGGTGGTTCATATCTGTGGACACTGGTTGTCATGTAACCCTAGTTATTGGGTGGCCCATATCTGTGGACACTTGTCGTCATGTAACCCTTGTTATTAGGTGGCCCATATATCTGTGGACACTTGTCGTCATGTAACCCTAGTTATTGAGTGGCCCATAACTGTGGACACTGGTTGTCATGTAACCCTAGTTATTGGGTGGCCCATATCTGTGGACACTTGTCGTCATGTAACCCTAGTTATTGGGTGGTCCATATCTGTGGACACTGGTCATCATGTAACCCTAGTTATTGTGTCGTCCATATCTGTGGACACTTGTCGTCATGTAACCCTAGTTATTGTGTGGTCCATATCCGTGGACACTTGTCGTCATGAAACCCTAGTTATTGGGTGGTCCATATCTGTGGACACTTGTCGTCATGTAATCCTAGGTATTGGGTGGCCCATATCTGTGGACACTTGTCGTCATGTAACCCTAGTTATTGGGTGGCCCATATCTGTGGACACTGGTTGTCATGTAACCCTAGCTGTTGGGTGGTCCATATCTGTGGACACTTGTTGTCATGTAATCCTAGGTATTGGGTGGCCCATATCTGTGGACACTTGTCGTCATGTAACCCTAGTTATTGGGTGGCCCATTTCTGTGGACACTGGTTGTCATGTAACCCTAGCTGTTGGGTGGTCCATATCTGTGGACACTGGTCGTCATGTAACCCTAGTTATTGTGTGGTCCTTATCTGTGGACACTTGTCGTCATGTAACCCTAGTTATTGTGTGGTCCATATCTGTGGACACTTGTTGTCATGTAACCCTAGTTATTGGGTGGTCCATATCTTTGGACATTTGTTGTCATGTAACCCTAGTTATTGGGTGGGCCATATCTGTGGACACTTGTCGTCATGTAACCCTTGTTATTGGGTGGTCCATATCTGTGGACACTTGTCGTCATGTAACCCTAGTTATTGGGTGGCCCATATTTGTGGACACTTGTCGTCATGTTACCCTAGTTATTGAGTGGCCCATATCTGTGGACACTTGTCGTCATGTAACCCTAGTTATTGGGTGGTCCATATCTGTGGACACTTGTCGTCATGTAACCCTAGTTATTTGGTGGCCCATATCTGTGGACACTTGTCGTCATGTAACCCTTGTTATTGGGTGGTCCATATCTGTGGACACTTGTCGTCATGTAACCCTAGTTATTGGGTGGCCCATATCTGTGGACACTTGTCGTCATGTAACCCTAGTTATTGGGTGGTCCATATCTGTGGACACTTGTCGTCATGTAACCCTAGTTATTGGGTGGTCCATATCTGTGGACACTTGTCG